TGACAAAAAATGTCAAAAACTTCGCCATGACTCTTATGAAATACCTCAGACGGTCTACTTTCCAATAAGGGGTCATTGGGGGATATCTGTACTGTTCTGATATTTTTGGGCCTCAAGAAATGAGATTTGTCGGTCAGTACTTCAGGACTGATCAATATTCAGATATATCCCATAGTGTGTGAACTCTATAACTTTCCTACAGACTAAATAATAAACACTGATTTGGGTTATTTTCACCAAAGACATGTAGCAGAATACATCTCGGCCTAAATTTATGAAGAACAATTATTTATTTGCTAAATTTTAGAACCTGTAGGATTTTTTTTAACAAATATAAAACCACAGCGGTGATTAAATACCAGCAAAAGAAAGCTCTAGTTGTGCGAATAAAGTGATACAAAAAGTTTGGGTAGTGTTGCATGACCGCGCAATTGTCACTCAAACTACAAGTGCGGGCAGGAAGGGAGTAAACCTGCCCGGTAGTGAAGTGGTTAACTAGCATTCCGCTGGAGCTGAATCCATGAGTTCTAAATAAACCCTTGTTAGTCATTTGTAGTACTCGCAGTGACTGCTCCTTTAACTGAAGCCATTCCGCTATAAACTAAGCATGACCTGTCCGGGCGCCTGTCATATTTTCCTCTCGGCCTCATCCTCCTGGAAGCTTTCCACATTCCAGTCAGCCAAGGCGGGAAAGCGGCTGGAAAAACCACTCGGGCGGTCTACAGAAGTAGAACTCGTCCTGACGTCACCGCCGGCTCCTCCGCAAAGTTTGGTATCCAAACAGACCGCGCATTCCATAAAGCAATTGGATACCAGTCGGAAAATAGGAGGTGACATCTACGTGATTGGTTGGTTTCTGGCTGGTTGTACATCCAGAGCGAGGCGTGGAACGCAGTCCTCATGCTGCTATTGGACAATAGTTTTCATGGGGCGGTGAGTCAGCTTCCTGATTGTGCCAGAGCCGAGGAGCGAGAAGACGGCTGGTGGAATCGTGTCTTCTGGGGTGAGCTCTACAGCTTTGGGGCTGGAATGATATTTGTACCCTGTGTGAGGTGGAACATTGTACTGGCGGCCATACCCTGCGCATAGTCCTCATGACTCCTCTTCCTTAAAGAGAACCGGTCATTGTTGGGCTTGTGGAAGAATTGTTCTATGTTCAGGCTTAAAGGGTTGCTTCACCTTTGTGTTAACAATTCAAGTGCAGCCAAGGGGCCCCAGAACATTACAAATGGAGGTGTAGAGAAGATAGATTGGGCTTTGTATAAATGACATACCTGTGTGCTGCCACAAAGCACAGTCCTCCATATCAGCCAGGATGGATGGTATATAAGGTCCCCCCACCCTCATCATTACTGGAAGGGGCATGGAGCCTGTGCTCGCCCTCCGCCACATAACCGCACATGCTGGAAGTCATGGCTGAGTGACTCACTAGGTAATGAAGCCCAGATCAGCATAATAGCTCCGGAGGACACATATCTGTAAGCTCAAAGGCTCAACTCCAAAGATTCCACGGGCAGAGGCAAAGAGATTCCACGGGCAGAGGCCACGGGCAGAGGCAAAGAGATTCCACGGGCAGAGGCAAAAAGATTCCACGGGCAGAGGCAAAAAGATTCCATGCAGACCCAAATATATTTATTTTTAGCTATGTTTCTGTTATTTTTTAACCTAACTGGACTCCAGGGGTCTATTTTATTAAAAAAGAAAATTGTTAGATGAATGTGACAAGCGGTAGCTTACCCCCATCACAAATTTCTGTGTTTGGAAAAGCTATATGTAATATATGTGTTTGCATGTGTGTGTGTGTGTATATATATATATATATATACACACACACACACACACACACACACACACACGTCCATATATATTTGGACACAGGCATAATTTTAGTTTTTTTTTTTCCAGTACTGACCAAAACGTATTCAAGCTATAGTTATATAATGGATATGGGCTGAAAGTGCACACTCCCAGGTTTAATTTGAGGGAATGTACATCCAAATTGGAGGAAGGGTTTAGGAATTACAGCTCTTAAGAGTAGCCATCCACCCTTTTTCAGGAGCTCAAATGTGATTGAACAAATGAATGTAATAAAATGTTAATTTTTAATATTTTGTTGGAATCCTTTACTGGCCATGACTGCCTGAAGTCTGGAACCCATGGACATTACCAAAGACTGGGCTTCCTCCTTTGTGATGCTTTGCCAGGCTCTAACTGCAGCTGTCTTCAGTTGTTTGTCTTTGTTGGTCTTTCTGCCTTTAGTTTTGCCTTCAGCAAGTGAAATGCATGCTCAATTGGGTTGAGATCAGATGATTGACTCGGTCATTGCAGAATATTCCACTTAATTTCCTTCAAAAGTTCCTGGGTTGTTTTTGCAGTGTGTTTTGGATCATTGTCCTGTGACGCACTATCCAATCAACTTTGCTGCATTTGGCTGAATCTGGGCTGACAGTATATCTCTAAACACTGCAGAATTCATCCGGCTGCTTCTGTCTTCTGTCACATCTTCAATAAACACCAATGACCCAGTTGATGTTGTGTTTTGGATCATGAGCTGTTCCAAGCCTTCTCCACACTTTTTTCTTCACGTCATTCTGGTACAGATTAATCAATGCAGCTTGAATATGTTTTGGTAAATATCTGAAAAAAAACTAAAATGCCTGCGTCCAAATATATACGGACCTAACTGTGTGTGTGTGTGTATATAATATATATTGGTTTTTCAGCCAAGTGCAACCTGAGCTTTCGGTGCACCACTATTTTTTACCTTAATACAGGTAATGCAAAGTGGTTCCAAAGGTAGAAGATGTGTGTGTGTGTGTTTTTTTTTTTTTTTTAATTGAAAAAAAAATGTTTATACTTGCCTGCCCTGTGCAATAGTAGTGCACCAAAATTAAAATCCTGGTGCCAAAACCGATACCAAAAAATGAACTGAAAAGTCTGTGTATGTGGGGAGGCTCCAGTTGTTTTAAATTATGATTTTATTGCTATCACATAGGGGACCAATAGTCCCTTATGTGATGGCATGTGAGTGACAGGCCATCTTTGTAGGGTAGGCAGTGTGTGCAAGGAGGGGGCAGGAGAGGAGCAATGTATACAGTGAGGGAGCAGTGTAAACAGAGAGGCTCCCTCACTGGCTTTCACTGTATGTCAGTGCCGGTTTTTAAATGCAATTGCCAGCTTTTTTTTTCACTATAGCTCAGAGAAAAACTTTGTTTCTTTTAACGCAGGGAAAGAAACTAAAATTAAACTTTGTTTCTTTTAGCTTGGGGAAAGTGACAGGTCATTCTCAGAGCTATAGTAAAGTAAAAAAAATAGCCGGTAATTATTACATTTAAAAACTGGCACTGACATATACTGACAGCCAGTCACTGTATACACTGCTCCTCCCCTGCCTTTCTGATTTCTGTATTAGTTTCCTTTTTTTTAGGCTTTCTTCTATTTCATCTGGTAATTCAGCCTGAAACTCTGCAAACTTTTAGACAATCCAGCTAGCATATATTAGTTTACATGGATGAGACAAACCATTTACCACTGACAGGGGTGATTAAAATGGTCAACGTTTATTCATGTAAAAACTTTTATCCCAAAAAAAAAAAAAAAAACTGCTCTAATTGATTATAAAGTGTGAGCTGGAGTTTGGCTTCAATTTGGTTTTTGTATCCAAATCTGCTAATGCATTTAACACTCCCATCCCCCCAGACTGAGAATGCTGCTTTGTCCTGTGCTCCTTCCTCCACAGTGGTGTCACACGAATCACACGAGGTTTGTTACTGGTCAGATCACCAGGTAAAAACAGCGGGATAAAAGCCAAAGAAAAGAAAAGAAAATGAATGCAGCCACCACACGATTGTTAAGCTGCAATATATGACATTCTTGGTTTTGGGTTTAATGCCGCTTTTAAAGTAAAAAAAAAAAAAAAAACCTTTTGGCTTTAGAACTGGTTTAATACACTGATTTCCTGTGGTTGTCCACTCCATCTAGTGGCCCTAATGCTGCAGTTTTTCTGATTGCAGTGTTTCAGAAAAAATTACTTTATGGCCTCTAGATGGAGGTGACAATCATGGGAAATCAGTGTATAAGGCCTCATTCACACAGGCGTACTGATCTATGCATTGGTGGAAAGGGCCATCCTCACCCACATAGGATGCACAGGTGTTTCGTGTAGGCAGCCTGTTCTTACCAATGACAGGTGGCCAGTTGCACAGACCTGCACCTGGATCTCCAAGCGCGTGTGTGTATATCCATGCAGGTCATGATCCAGCGATGTGCACAAGAGCCTCGTTTCTCAGGGGACTCTCCCTCCTCATTGGCTGAGACAGCAGCAGTAGCTATTGGTTCCCACTACTGTCAATCCCAGCCAATGAAGAGAGAGTGGGGGTGGGGCTGAGCCTTTCTCCAAGTGTGAATGGACACACACAGCAGCTGCTCGGAATCGAGCCTGCTCAGGTGCCCTTATAGCAAGCTGCTTGCCATGGGGGCAATAGGCAGGAGGGAGCTGGGGGACCCGAGAAGAGGAGGATTGGGCTGCTGTGTGCAAAATCACTGCACAGAGCATGTAAGTATAACGTGTTTGTTATTAAAAATAATATATATTCTGATATATATATATTATATATTTTTTTTTTTTATATATTTAGACTTCTGTTTTGTCCTGGCAGTCAAAGGGTTTAAACATGCAACCGCAGCTGTGAACCTGTTTTGGAATTCTTCGTCAACCTCTGCTCTTTGTTGTATAAGTGGTCACTTCTATGGGGCAGCATTCTGAGCTGTAAAGGCTTTTAAAGAATTAGCTGTGTAGAATTTTGGATATCCTAATTTTTGCCAATTCGAGGCTTGACGTATTTGGTGTCTATTTACTAGAACCGTTGTCTGCCTTTTCCAAAACAAAAGAAAATGTTTAGGTACAGACCTAAAAATAAAACTGACCCCCCCACCCCCATGTTAGTTTCCCTTTAATATACCTTGGCTTAAAAGTTTGTATTTATTTATTTTGTGCATAGATGGATGGAAGTGGAGCGTCACCACCATCATTGATGAATGAATATATGATGCAAGGCAGTGTCTCCTCTTCAGGAACACGATGTATGTATTAAAGGGGTGTGGGTGTGTTTTAATGTCTAATTAAAGTGGTACTAAATAGAGATGTGTTAATTGCCATAATTAATTCACATAAATCATGTATATCATGCCACTGCATATATATATTTTTTTTTTAATTTTTTTTTTTTTTGTAGTACCTCATTTCTGCAGCAGCGTTGTGTGGTCACATGATCATTCCCCATTCTTTGGCATCTACAGGGAAAGAGCCTTGGGGGGGCTTATATTACTCTATCTGTATGATGCTTTCTACAGTATGTCTACAGTCTGTGCCTGTATAGCCCTGATTGGTGCTGTGTTGGTCACATAACTAAAGAAAGTTTCAGAAAAGCAATTAAATCAAATTACAAATATCAAAAACTGGATTCACAGCTCCCTATAAATCTTTATTGAACATCAAATTGTGTTTTTGTGCATTAATGTGGTGTAGGTGCAGTCATGATTGATATTGGCTTTGGTTTTGTTCAGACAGCATCTGCATCCAAGGCTCTTTTTTACTTTACAGGTATTCTCAATTACATTTGAGCTATTTAATACTGATTTGTTTTAAAACTAAGCTTTTTGGTGAGTATTTTTAGTGAATGCAATCAATCAGCATATTCTTTCCCACCTCCATAGTGTTTAGCAATAGGAGGACACGGAGGAGGAGGGAAGGAGGTAGTATCATTTACCACTGTGTATACACCCACATATGTGACTCTATATTCCTGTGGGCTGCACAGATAAGAAAAAGGAGGAAAGAAGCACTTAGAAGGGAACTGAAATATGAGCATCCTCAGTGCAGGACACAGGCTGGTGTACTCAGTCTCAGGCTGTAGTGGGGACACAGAGAAGATTGCTCTGTTATAGCATGTAATGAGAGTTTTTCATAGTCTGGGTTTAAAGACACTTTAAAGCAGTGGTCTCCGAACTGCAGCCCTGGGGCCAGATGTGGCCCTTTGCTTGCCTTTATGCGCCCTTGGGACACTATTCCTCCCACTGATACAAGACACTATTCGGCCAACTGACGCCAACAATGGGGAACCATTTCTCCCACTGACACCAATAGTGGGCACTATTCCTCCCAATGATACCAACAATGGGGCACTATTCCTCCTCCTAATACCAAATGAGGTGTGGTGACTGTGGCTGGCCACAGTCTGCCCCCTCTGAAGTCTGAAGGACAATAAACTGGCCCTTTATTAGAAAGTTTGGAGACCCCTGCTTTAAAGCAAGGAACATTTAGTACAATCCATTAAAGTGAAAGTTGAGCAATTTTTTTTTTGTTTTTTATTTATTTATCTATTTATTTATTTTTATAGAATGTATTTTCATTTGAGTAGCCACTGGGGAGATTCCCTTCATATCCTTTCTCAGTGATAGTTGACAGGAAATCTACCCTAAAGGAAAGAACTGAACTCTGGGAGCCGTTCCCCAAAAAAGGCAGGCAGCTAGTATAGAGCTAGTCACCAGTGTTTCCAGTGGTCTCCCTGAAGCTGATATTTTCTCAATTACTGACTTGCAATGCCTTGTTTTACACAGTTTCTTGTCTGGGGGAGGCCATCTTGGTAGAGGCAGGGCTTTTACTTTCACATATCAGAACTTCCTGCTGGAACAGTGAGCAGCACTGTGGTAACATTACCAAATCTTCTTAGACCAGCAGTCAGAGACAGCAGTTCCTTAAACCTCACACTGCAAATATACAGCTCTGAGGTTGTAGGCACATGTACTGCTATTTTTCAGGAGAAATTCCAGACAAAAAGTTAATTGTCTAAGTAATGCCCTGAAAATATACAGTCCATTGTTCCTATAACAAAGCAAATCTTCACTTTTTTGGTTTCTGTTACACTTTAACATGGCACAGGCAGCAGTAAATTCCAAAAGAGAGGTTTTGGCTGGAATTCCACTTAAAGTCACTTTACACCTTTTAAATGTTTGTTATTTTGGTTAAGTATTAGTGTAGATATATTCCCTGTGTTATTTGTTTGTCTTACATTGTAATGATAGGCTCATATGTTGTGGGTGCAGTTTGTAGTGTCATGGCCAATCAATTCCCCTATGTTCATGTATTCATTCCTCTAAGTTTGTATTCAATGTTTTAATTAATATGAATTTAGGAGTGAATTTTTTTTTTTCAGCACCCTTTGGCCAAATGGCTGCTTTCACACAGTTTTTGCAGCGCTTTTGCATTTAAAAAAAAAAAAAAAAAGTAACGCTCAAGAAAAATGCATCCCATCAAATTCAATGTATGTCTTCACACTGGTCCATTGCGGTGTTAAAAATCCTGCTTGCCGCATTTTTGGTGCATATTTGGCAGGTAAAAAAAGAGAAAAATGCACCTAAAACGCCTCCCCATTGAGGCCTGGCTCACACCAATGCGTTTTAGGGCTTTTTGCAGAAATGCACTACAGTGAGCTGCTGCATTTTTGGAAAGGGTCAGGGACTTTTTCAAATGCAAAATGTTGCATTTTTGGTTCAATAGACTTCAATGGAGATGCAGCAAACGCATGTAGTGCGTTTTTCACGCTTTGGTGCTTTTTTTTATGCGTTTTGCATTTTTAATCTGCCCAGCAACAAGTTGGCCCAAAAAAAAAAAATTTAACAAAACGTGCATGAAAAAAATGCAAACTGCATTGGTGTGAACCAGGCCTGAAATGTATTGAAAAAAAGCATTAAAAAATGTGCATGCAAAAAACGTAAAATTCACAGCAAAAAGCAAACTGCATTTCTGTGAAGCAGGCCTGAAATGCATTGAAAATGCATCAAAAATGGACATGTGTTGCGTTTTTGATGCTTTTTTTTTGTTTTAACCTGCCCAGCATCAAGTTGGCAAAAAAAAATCAAAAACCGCGTGTGCAAAAAGGTCAAAACAAACTGCATTGGTGTGAACCAGACATGAAATGCATTGAAAACTCATCAAAAAACGCACATGTGTTGTGGTTTGATGTGGATTTTTGTGTCGCTTGACATGGAAAAACGCACCCTAACCGTGGTAATATTGCGGCAAAATCGTGCATTTTCAGCTGCCATTATCGGCACCTTTTTTTCCTATCGGCAAAATGCTGATAACACTATTTTCGGCCGATACATTTCGGTCGCTGGTATATCGGTGCATCCTGTTTACTTACTAAAACTGGAGAATGCAAAATCTGGTGAAACTCTGGATAGAAACCAATCCGCTTCCAGGGTTTATTGCCAAAGCCTAATTGAACAAGCTGAAGTTGGAAGCTGATTGGCTACCATGTACAGCTGTACCAGATTCTGAGTGCTCCAGTTTCAGTAAGGCTAGGTTCACGCCTATGCCGTTTGCGTTTGAGCCATTTCTGCAGTGTGTTTTGCGCTTTTGTACAAGCGTTTTTGCCATGTTTTTGATGCCTTTTGCGTTTTTTTTTTTTTTTTTTTTTTTTTGATAGGCAGATTTAAAACGCATCAAAACTGCACTACATGCTTTTCTGCAGCATTTCCATTGAAGTTTATAGACACACAAACTCAACTTTTTGTGTTTTTTTAAAAATAGTCTTTGACCCTTTCCAGAAAACGCAGAGATGTGAACCTGTCACAGGAAATAATGTTAAAAGGTCAATTTTAAAAAACGCTTAGGTGTGAACCTAGGGTAAATTAACCCCATTGCTCTGCCTGCTTGTGTCTGTGCCATATCTAAGTACTAGCGTTCATCTGCACAAGTACCTGATTCAGAATCCCAGGTATTGTCAAATATGTAATTTCTTGACAGGAAGGGGAGATTTACTAAAATTGGAGCACTCCGGATCTGGTACAGCTGTGCATGGTAGCCAGTTCGCTTGTAACTTCAGCTCGTTCAATTAAGCTGCTTTCACACTGATCCGTGACAGAAACGCATATGCATTTTATTGTGTTTGTAGTGCGTTTTTAACATGACGTGACTCATAAACCATGCCAAAAACCGCACCACGGTTTTCCATTGATCTCAATGGGGAGGTGCGTTTTTTTTTTTTTTTTTTTTACTGCACCAAAAATTCAGCATGCAGGATTTTTAAAAACACACCTGAACTTGTGTTTTCATTACAAGTTCAGCGCTTCTATGGCTATTTTTACTGAGAGAATTAAAAAATAAAAAAAATAAAAAAGTAGCTGAATTATACAAATGGAAGCACATGTGTTGAGATCTAGAATGGCAACATGTGAGATGTTAGTTTTTATTTTACATACAAAAAGCTACAAAAACACTAGCAGTCTGAGGCCTGATTCACTTTTATTCTATGACATCTGCAGCTGCAGGAGAACCTTTATTCCCCTCTCAAGGTAACTGAGGTTGATTTATGTGGTTTAAGTCCTTGCTTGGACATGAATTGCATACAACTGTGTCCCTGCCCTGTGTGAATTTAAACTGTTTACATAATAGTTTCTGTTCCTGTTGGATGTCAAGGGTACAAACTGTTGTGTATTTATCCCATATCCGTTAAGCTTTAGATAAATGACATTTTTAGTAGGATGCTATAATCCTCTATAATGACATCTGTTACCATTTTCTCTATTGTTCTGTCCTCAGCAATGGATGTGATTGTATATTTTATGAATGATGAGGCGGTTCCGCTGACAGTGGATGGCCTTTCTGTCATGACAGCACATGAGTTGCACAGAATCATCCGTGAAGTCCTTGTGCTCCCTGACATTGCTCAAGAAGTCTTTGCTCTGTGGCTTGCCTCTCCATTATTGGGTAATAAACATGCATTTTACATTGCTAAACATCCATACAGTTATAATAAAATGACTCTGTCATATAAAGTTTTTTTTTTTTTTTTGTTTTCTTTTTGTTTTGTTGTTTTTTTTGTTTATAGAGGTGCAACTGAAGCCAAAACATCAACCTTACAAAGTCTGCAGACAGTGGCATGACCTGTTGGCACGGTTCACAAATAATTCGGCTGAAGACATTCATCAAGGCAAGTAGAAAATAATCTTTACTTTATCATTCTGGATATGAGATGGAGACACCGATGACAGGACATTTTCTTTAAAGCTGAACTGAAGTTCCACTGTGAGAAACAGCAAGCAGGCAATCTTTTATTGCTGTATAGACATGCATGGTCCCTGCTGCAATAAAATGCCCCTCACTGAGTGCTCACTCTTCTCCAGCACTGTAAACTGAGCTGCGCAGCTCAGCTTACAACACTAGGCAGGTCTCTGAGTGCCAGGATGATGGCCTCCTATGCATGTACAGGAATGACGTCCTCCTCCTCCAGCCAACGAAGAGACCCAAAGACCTGCACTCAGAAGAAGATGCCTGCACAGGACCGTTGGACGGGTAGGTTTTAAGCCTTTAGTTCCCCCTGTAATATTTGGATAGCAGCAGATGGGCAGTTATCTGCCAGAGAATGGGGAGTGGGAAGATTTCTTTCTATCCTTTTCACCTAAGCAGTACTTCACTGACTGATGCATAGCAAAGGCAACGTTTGAGTCAGCTCACAAGCAAATTATTTAAATCAACTACTTAGAATTATCCCTATTTTAGAACCCCAATAGCAAAACAGTTGGGACACTGTAAAATCTGCATAAAAACAAAATAATGTTCACAATAGAAAATAGAAAACATTAGTTTAAGCTGGAAAAAATTTACCATTTTAAGAAAAAAATAAGGTAATTTTGAAATTGATGGCAGCAATACGTCTCAAAAAAAGTTGAGACAGGACAACAAAATGGCAAAGTAAATGGTACAAACAAGGAAGAGCTGGAAGAACATTTTTAAACTAATCAGGTTTTTTTGCAACAGGTCAGTAATATGAGTGGGTGTAAAAAGAGCATCTTGGAGAGTCAGAGTGTCTCAGAAGTGAAGATGGGCAGAGGCTCATCAATCTATGAAAAGCTGCATCTAAAAAGTGTCAATTTCAGAATAATGTCCATCAATATAAAATTGCAAAGCCTTTAAATATATCATCATGTACAATACTTAATATCATCAAAAGATTCAGAGAATCTGGGGAAATCTGCATGCAAGGGACAAGACTGAAATGCAATATTGGATGCCTGTGATTTTTTTTTTTTTTTTTGGCCTTCAGACGGCACTGCTTTAAAAACAGGCATGATTCTGTGATGAACATCACTGCATGGGCTCAGGGATACATTAAAAAATTATAGTCTATGAACACAGTTTGCCGTGCCATCCAAAAATGCAAGTTAAAGCTGTATCATGCAAAGAAGTCCTATCTGAACATGATCCAAAATCATTGCTGTCTTCTCTGGGCCAAAGCTCATTAAAAATGGTTTGTTGCAATGTGGAAAATTGTTCTGTGGTCTGAAGAATCGAAATTTGACATTCTTTTTGGCAACTATGGGCGCCACGTCCTCTGTATGGGGGTACATTGGTGTGTATGGAGTGGGCAGCTTGCACATATGGGAAGGCACCATCAGTGCTGCAAGATACTTACTTCTGCATCAAGTATCTGTCTGCAGCTTGCTGAGATGTGGAAAGATCAGTAGTTCGAGTTCGGCAATTAATCAGATTTTAGGTTTTTCCCATTACGAATAGTCACAACCCTAAATGCAGTTTCTGCATCCAGTCTGTTACATTGCTTGCCCTCCAGAGGATTTACCCCCCTTTCTGACCAGGCCATTTTTTGCGATACGGCGCTGCGTTACTGTACCTGACAATTGAGCGGTCATGAAATGCTACACCCAAATGAAATTTGTCCTTTTTTTTTTCCCACAAATGTAGCTTTCTTTTGGTGGTATTTGATCACCTCTATGTTTATTTTTTGCACTATAAACAAAAAAGACCGACAATTTTGAGAGAAAAAAAACAATATTTTTGACTTTTTGCTATTAAACAGGGGTGTGAAAATTTTTGAATAGCTACTTGTCCAGGGAGACTTGGGGGCATTCACATGGGGGGGGGGGGCAGTACACGGCTAGCACCGTGGGCTGTGTGGAAGCAAGCTGTCGCCCGAATGCTTCCACCTGACAGGTGAGCCCTGCTGCTTGCCCGCAGCAGGGCTAAAGGTTGAAAAAAAGCTACCTGTCTGAGGCCTAAAACTACATGTCCCGGGCGTCTGGTGATGCAAATGCAATGTCCCCGAAACATGTCCAGTAAAAAAAGTTTAAAAATCAAATTTCATCATAAATGTAGGCCAAAATTTATTCTGCTACATGTCTTTGCTAAACAAAAAAAAATCCCAATATATGTAAATTAATAGGTTTACGTGAAAGTTATAGCGTCTACAAATGGCGGTGTATATATACAGTAATATCAGCGACTTATAGCGGGACTGTGGCGGGGATTCTGACACTGGGGGAACTGACTAACTGCCGCTAACATCCTCAGTGACACTAAATATACAGTGATCAGTGCTAATATAAAGCACTGACACTGTACTAATGACACTGGGCTGGAAGGGGTTAACATCTGGGCGATCAAAGGGTTAACTGTGTGCTGTTTCACTGTGTAAGTACTCTGCTTTGTATGGGTCTGCTACGCAGAGCAATACAAAGCAGTGTGCAGGAGCTGACGGGAGAGATCTGTATTGTTTACATACAGACCTCTCCCTGTCAGTGATACTCGGCGATTGCCGGGTGCCGGCGGGGAATCACTGACCGGCACCCAGTGATCCACCACTGAGGCCGCCATTTCCCCTACCCAGAAATGCAAAATCACGTGTATATATACGTAATTTTGTGCAGCCCTGCCACGCTGTAGCAGTATTTCTGCTATATGGCGTCGGGAAAGGGGTTAAGGCAGTGTTTCTCAACTTTATTTTTTTTTTTTTCTTTCAGTCAAGGCACCCTTTAAAATCATGGACAGTCTCAAGGCCCTCCATTCTAGAATGTAAAAAAACTATTCTAATAGTCTTACATAATATAGCGACACCCACACATGTAGGACACCCAATGTTAGAGGGGATTTATTCTTCAAATACACTTTTGCACACTGAACCGAATAGTATTCCAATGTTTTCTCTTCTCCCTCCGTTTTCTCAGGTCACTCAGCTAATTTGACCCAACTACTGACAGAGCGGGTCAGGGGGTCAAAGAAGGATTTCGTGCAGGCGACCGTCATCCTCAATATCAACTGATGGCTTCATTGGTTATTAGGAGGCCAGCAGCTAGGTTGTAGTGGTGCACAATGAAAACCTTTTGTCTTTGTGTAACTAAAAGGCAGGCTTGATTCACCTGCTGGCTTGTATACAATTTTTAGACATTTTGCCAAGGCACCCCTAAAGAAACTTCAAGGCACTCCAGGGTGCCTGGGCACCCTGGTTTAAAAAGGCTGGCTTAAGGAACTTCACATTGCAACATAAAATTGGATATACAATACTTCTTGTTTAAACACTAGCTACAATGTTAACACCTAGCAAAGATATAAAAATTTGCTGACAATTTTGCTGTTAAACTGGTGCTTCTCCTGTCTACATTTTCTATGACTGTTATTAACTTGTGTTTTATTTGGGGTGTGGTTGAATAAAATGAATTTATAGACATGACTATAAGGCATGATGGCATAGCTAAATTTTATGCTTCCTGTTCTTTACATAGATGAACCTTGTCTGCAGTTCCGCAGAAACATTTTCTTTCCTAAATGTCGAGAACTTCAGGTGAGATAAAACTAAGTTATTCAGATCATAAACTGACAACCAAAATCGTATTCACAGTCTTATTACAGTAGTCAGAGTGCCAGAGATGCCCCCTAAAGTAACCTGAAGGGGAGAACAGGCACACCTACTCCTGCGTCTTACCATACACTGTTTAACACCAGTGCATTGAATCCTTATGTGAGCTGAGCTTCCCAACTGGAAAAGTAAATATATGATCTGCTGTATTATGCTGCTTGCAGTCTTAACAGCAACCTTAGTTCTAAATTGGTGTACTACAGTGAATGTTAAACCTGAACTCTGTCTTATGGTACAATTTTACTCCCCCAAAACAACTATACATTGCACCCTCACTACTTCCATCTCCCCACTACGGCTCTCACCACCTCCTCCTGATACTCCACTCTCCCACCGACCCACACGCCACCACTAACAGACCCACACGTCTGCACATCCCGCTCCCATGCCACCTTTCTCACCCTTCTTGTTCTCCTAACCGCCAGGGACATCTCCCCAAACCCTGGCCCCTCACTCACCCACTAGGCACCCTCCTACTCCCACAAACCGCCACAACCCCCTCAACCGTATACCTGTCCCCTTCCTCCCCGCATCCACCCCTCCACTCTTGGTTGCACTCCTGAAACGCCCGATCGGTTTGCAACAAGCTCACCGCCATCCATGACCTCTTTATCTCCCACTCCCTCAACCTCCTAGCGGTCACCGAAACCTGGATCCAAGCCACTGATTCCACCTCCCCTGCGGCACTCTCCTATGGAGGTCTCGTCTGGTCCCATTCACCCAGACCGAGCGGTCGTAGAGGTGGTGGGGTCAGCATGCTCTTGTCACCGCTGAGCACCTTCCTGGTCCTCCCAAACCCCCCCTCTCTATCCTTCTCCTCCTTCGAGGCCCACTGCATCCGGCTCTTCTCTCCCACACCTCTGAGGATTGCAGTAATCTATCGGACTCCTGGACCCGTATCCCGCTTCCTCGACGACTTTTCTGCCTGGCTACCCTTCTTCCTCTCCTCTGAGCTACCCACCATCATCCTTGGTGACTTCAGTATCCCTATCAATGTCAAAAACCCAACTACATCTTAACTCCTCCACTTAACCTCTTCTTTTGCACTCACACAGTGCACGCAGCCCTCCACCCACACCGACAGGAACACCCTGGACCTCGTTTTCTCTCATCTCTGCACCCTCCACAACCTCACAAACACCCCTCTTCCTCTCTCTGACCACAACCGCATTACGTTCTCCGTCTCCCTGTCCTCTAACACCCCCCCCCCCCCCCCCTTCCTTAAACGTCAAACCATCACCAGCCGTAACCTCCGCAACCTGAACCCGGCCCCTCTCCACTCTGCAGCTGACCGTCTGTACGACAGTATCCTTCCACTTTCATGCCCTGACCTGGCCACTACTGCATATAACGACTCGCTGTCAGCTGCCTTAGACTCCTTAGCACCCCTAACCACACGCAGCATTAGACCCCAACCGCTTCAACCCTGGCAGAACGACAACACTAAAAAACGTAAACGATGCAGTCGCACACTGGAGCGATTATGGCGCAAAACCAGATCCCCTTGAGTGTTCTCCCTCTGCAAATCCTCCTTCCTCACCTACTCCTCCTCCCTCCACGCCGCCAAACAAGCCTACTTCGTAGCCCTCATCAACACCCTCTCCACCTGTCCTCACCGGCTCTTCTCCACTTTCAACTCCCTACTCTCTCCCCCCCACCTCCACCCAGTACCTCACTCACCGGCCACGAGATTGCCAATCACTTCCAAAACAAGATCGACGCAATCCGTAAGGACATCGCCAATGCTAAATCTACCTCCCCACCTAGCCTCCCTCCCATTATAACCCCTTCAACTCTCCCCTCCTCTGACCTCGCAACCGCCCTGCCCCCCACCACACCTAACATCCCGCACACTATAACCTCCCCAACACTCTGCTCCTTCAGCCTCGCTACCACTTAGGAGGTCACTAAGGTCTTCTCAGAAGCCCGCCTCACCACTTGCCCCCTTGACCCTGTCCCCACACAACTCGTCCGGTCACCCTCCTCCTCCATCCTACGCTCCCTCACCCACATCTTCAATCTCTCCCTCTCTACTGGCGCATTCCCCTCAACCCTAAAGCACGCGCACATCACCCCTATACTCAAAAAACCCTCCCTGGACCCCACCGACCTGAACAACCTTAGACCCATCTCCCTGCTGCCATTTACATCCAAGCTCCTTGAGCGCTTAGTCTATAATCGCCTAAGCTCCCACCTCACTGACAACAACCTCCTCGATCCACTACAGTCTGGCTTCCGTCCCCTACACTCCACTGAAACTGCCCTACTCAAAATCACTAATGACCTGCTAACCGCCAAAGCTAATGGCCACTACTCAGTCCTCCCTACTCCTCGACCTTTCCGCGGCCTTCGACACAGTTGACCACCCCCTCCTCAATAAATTACACTCCCTTGGAATCAGAGACTCCGCTCTCTCCTGGCTCTCCTATCTATCCCAACGCTCCTTCAGTGTTACCTATAACGCTACCACCTCCCCCTCTCTCCCCCTCTCTGTTGGGGTCCCCCAAGGCTCTGTCCTTGGGCCCCTTCTCTTCTCCATCTACACCTCCTCCCTCGACAAACTGATACACTCCCACAGCTTCAACTATCGATGACACGCAAATTTACTTCTCCACACCTCACCCCTTCAGTCTCCGCCCGTATCACCCACCTACTGAACGACATATCAGACTGGATGTCGCTCCATTTCCTCAAATTGAACCTTTCCAAAACCGAGTTCCTAATTTCCCCCCAGCCCGCACCCCCCTCCCATCCTCTCCATCACGACCAACAATGCCAACATCAGTCCCACCCCACAAGCCAAAGTCCTAGGTGTCACTCTAGACTCAAACCTGTCCTTCCAACCCCATGTCCAAACGCTGGCAAACTCATGCAGGCTCCACCTCCGCAACATCTCCAAAATACGTACGTTCCTAACCCCAGACACTACTAAACAACTCATTCACTCCCTCATTATCTCACATCTGGACTACTGCAACTCCCTTCTCACCGGCCTACCCCAACACAGGTTATCCCCGCTTCAGTCTATCCTGAACTCAGCAGCCAGACTCATCCAGCTTACCAACCGCTCCGCTTCTCTGCCACCCCCCTCTCATTCCCTCCACTGGCTTCCGATTGCCCAATGCATTAAATTCAAACTACTAACATTGACATACAAAGCCATTCATAACGCTGCTCCAAACTACCTCACCGACCTGATACCCAAATACCACCCAACCCGTACTCTTCGCTCCTCACAAGACCTCCTACTTTCTAGCTCCCTGGTCTCCGCCTCCCACGCCCGACTGCAGGATTTCTCCAGGACTTCCCCCATCCTCTGGAACTCACTACCCCAATCCATCAGACTGTCACCTACCCTCCTCACCTTTTAGGTGCACCCTGAAAACCCATCTCTTCAGGGAAGCCTACCCCACTCTCACCTAACAGCCGATCTTCTCCTACCACTCCATCCCCCACAGCCACTATCCCCTCCCTCCTAGATTGTAAGCTCGAAAGAGCAGGGCCCTCGAACCAATCGTGTATTGTTTTGTTACTGTATTGTCTCATGTACTGTCCCCGACTATAATGTACAGCGCTGAGCAAACCTTTTGGCGCTATATAAATACTGTATAATAATAATAATAATTTTTACATCGTTCGTTTGGGCCTAAACAAACTATGTCCCTCACTAACACGTGAGGCCACTGGGTGTGCTGTATAAACTGTATCTAGCTGAGTTCATGAAAATACAGTTAGACTTTTCTCCTAAATGGTAAGGATTTTCAAAATGTTATTAACTGTTTAGTGTATTGTGTAGGGGGGTGTACTAATGGGTAATTTTTTTTCCATATCTTGGAGTTCTTAAAGCCTAAGTCTAGCTAAAACCAAAAACATAATCAGCACGAGTGACATAACATGATTCGTATGATGTGTCCCTTGTGCTGATTCTATATATTTTTTTTTTATTTTTTTTTTTTAGGAGACATTTTCCTCCATCCTTTATAATAAAGGGATATTAGCAGCTAGTACTCAATAGTTAGAGAACTTGTTGCCTGACCATTCTTTTCATCAAAACTCTTACCACAAGATTATAGGTGCATTTAATATATGCATGTTATTTACCAGCAAAAGACTCCCATGCTCAGAAGTTGCTGCTGCATGCTGCCATCTTCGATGTGATGTCAGCAGCCCCAGTAGACTGAAAGCTGTCACTCTAGTAACACTTATTCTCTTTTGCTCCTTCCTTTGGCTGCTACATAAGGGTTTTCTTGATTTTATAAAAATACAAATAAGAGAAATGACTACACACAGGAAGAAAAGTAAAACCTCTCCACATTTCCTGACAGCTATATGTATAGTAAGACCAGGAAATGTAGGTTTTGTCATAGAAAGGACTGTGGTCTTTCTAAAGTAGTAGAACTATACTTTGTTTTCACTTTATTGCTTCGCATTCTTCTTTACTTATCACCAAAAATGAAATACAACAGAAGCTTTGATACTACTTTTATCACAGTTCTAGAAGCACACTCTAAAATTTGTAAGAAGCCAGTAAACCTATCTACATGGCAAGCTCCCAAAGGAGTTTACAGTCTAATGTACTTACTGTAGTCCTATTGCAAATGCCTTCTAGTTCCAAAGTAGAAGTTAATCCTGCTATTATCCTGTATTATAATTATACAGGATTTATATAGCACTAACAGTTTACACAGCATTTTACAAAGTAGACAGAACAGTAAGGAAGACAGTACAGTCACAATACAATTTTAATGCAAGAGGATTAAGGGGGCTATTTTTGCTGCACAACAATTCATTATTGTTAGTTTGCAGGTGGTGGTTTAGTCACAGAACGAGCATAGAGAACATTGAATTTGCAATTTTTTGACATGGATATGTTGATTTTGCATTTAGATTGCTAATGAGGAAGTTTTGCGTCTGCTATATGAAGAGGCCAAATCTAACGTCCTAGAGGGCAGGTACCCCTGTGACTTAGAAGACTGTGAACTGTTGGGCGGCCTAGCTTGCCGCTTAGAACTGGGTCCTTATAACCAAGAAAAGCATACACCTTCCACATTAAGGTATGAGTATACTTTTCCATGCTTATATATTCATATTTTTCTTTATTCTTTCTTGTGGGGATCGTCATTAATTTACAAATATCTATACATTTAAATACTTTGCCTCACTGACATGCGAGTTGTTCACAGTAAAGACTACTTTCTACTTAAAATGACAAAAACAGATGATTACTGCTTTTCTCTAAAAACATTCCTTCAAAGCTGTATTAAATCCAAAAGCATACCTTTTATTATATTGCAGCTTACAAATTCTTAGATGTAATGGCTACGTTCATTTACTTTTTTAGGCTTTCTTTGTTCTATTTAATTTGGTGATCTGGTCAGCAAACCTCTAACCTCAGTTACAGATGAAACACACCATTTAACACTAGCAGGGATGCTTATAATGTTATGTTTTATTTATGTAATATCTTTATCAAAAAACCGTTTGCTGTAACTACCTATAAAGTTTTAGATGGAGTTTGGCTTCAGTTTTTTAGTGTATTTAAAGTGTAATTCCAGTCAAAACCTAACTAAGCTAAAATCTCCTCCTACCCCCATTATAAGCCAATTTTGTCTACCATATAAAAGAATAGAAGTCTATATTGGCCTGTTGTGAATTTGCTCCAGCCCAGTCATATCACAGGGTCCCAGTCCGGCCTCAGTGTAGAGGATGGACAGCAGACTATGGCTGCCCCAGAGTAAGTCTATTGGTGACACAATTGCCCTGGCTCTGCAGCCATTGTCACTGCTCTCTACAGTGAAGCTGCCACTGGAGATCTAATGTGACCGGACCAGAGCAGCCTCAGCATAAGTAAGTATACTGATCTTTCCTTTTACAGGGTAGATATAACTGGTTTAGAATGAAGTAGGAGTAAATTTAGGCTTAGTTAGGTTTTGACTGGAATTGCACTTTAAATCTGCTAGCATTTCTAACATTTCTTCCTCTGGACTGACAATGCTGCTGTCTAAAGGCGCCCCTGTGTTCAATTGTCCAGAGTGGGGCACTCTAATACAGGAGGTGTGTATTTGGCCAGATCACCAGATGAAAACAGAGAGCAAAAAAGCCTAAGAAAAGAAAACTGAGTCAGCCACTACATTTAATGATTGGTAAGCTGCAACATATTACATTTTTGGTTTTCAGTTTAATACTGATTTACAGCTAATCACCAGATACTTTTTCTATTCAAACAGTGTTACGCTCTGGTAAGCAATATTATCCTATTAGAAATGCACAGGGCTGTGAGAAGAAGTCTAGGGATTTTAAATAATAATTGAAAACGCAACATTGGATGTGTTACTTGTGTCCTTCAAACCACTATTGGGCCTGGTTCACATCTGATGCATTTTTAAATGCGCTGCAAAACACACATAAAAGTGCAGTGTATGAATATACATTACTTCCAATGAGGCCATTCACATCTGCACTCTGCGTTGTACAAAATGTGGCATGTCCAATATTATATGCATTTACCTGCATTTTTCAGGCCTATTGAAGTTTATGTAAGCACATGAAAAAAACACATGTAAAACTCACTAAAAAAGCATGTTGAAGAACAGAACACACAAGGAAAAATGCATGGAAGCAGAAAGATGTGCACCCATCTTAAAAACTAGTACTATAACGAGTCCTTTAATGTTTTGGCTTCATTAATTGTTCTTATTTTTACCTGGTGATCCTGCCAGTAACATCCTTATTCTCCTAGGGTGACCATGCTCACCACTGTAATGTATCTATGTAGGCATATAGTATTGTTGGCACAGGTCAGAATGTGTGTTAGGACCACAATCACCCCTACCCCCCGCTTCTCCTCATCCTCTTAACATGGGGAGGGGAAGGTTTTCTGTAGGCCTGCAAAGAGGATTGGCAACAATGCAAACTGATAACTTCCTGTAATCTGCTGATTTATTAGTTCACTGTATTTTTGGCAGGATCAGCAGGTATTATTTATTATTATTATTTTTTTTTTTTTTTGATGCACTTATTGACCATATTTAAAACCCTTTCCAAGGTATGTTTAGAGCAAAATTGAGCATTTAAGTGATGTACATTATTATGGCTTGCATACATTTTAACTCTTTCGCTGCCATGCCTTGCTCTCCACTTTTAAACTCAGATGAACCAGGCCGTTTTTTGCATTTTGTTTTTTTTGTCTTACAGCTTTCAAAGTTTGTGTAAGACCCCCCAAACCATATATTTTCTGAAAGCATAGGACCAGTAGAATAAAAGGAATGTACTATTGATTTTTTTTAGACCCCGCAGTAGTTAAGCAAATGTTCATCAAATAGCTTTTTAACTAAAAATATACTAAAATAATTTTTAGTGCACACAACACAACTTTTTTAATTCCTGCTATATTGCTGCTAAGGCCTTGTTCAAATGGAGCGTACTAAAATGTAGAGTCACGGAGGGCCATGTTTACCCGCATGGGGATGCCCAGGTGTTTCATGCATTCCCATGTAGGCAGTCCCATGCGTGTCAATTGGCATACATAGCCGCTGCTCCCAATCTGACATCTGTGTGGGTTTGATTGCACGAACCCGGACACAGACAGCATGAGGTCAGGGATATGCACCCGGACCTACATGAGTGTCAAATGGGGAGCAACAGCTGTGTTTGTGCAGTTGCTACATCCCAAATAACATAAATGGGGCTGCTTGCACAGGGATGCACAGAACATCTGTGCATCCCTTTATGGGAAATTACGACCCTGCAGGAGAATACACTGTGTATGCCCTGTGTGAACAAGACCTTACTATTAGGGATACACTGATACCGGTATTGATAGAAGTGCCAATACCTATTATTTTCATGATTACTTGAAACCGATACTTTGTGGTGCCAAAATGACTGGGTGCAAATTGCACTGCAAAGAATGGCATGTGGTTTATACAGAAATACGGTGCGATTCCTGTCCAAATCGCACGCGGTTTCCTGCACCGTTCCTGTATGAACCCAGGCTGAAATCACCATGACAAGCCTGGGTTTCACACAGGAGTGATTGCACTGCATTCCTGTTCAAATTGTATGCCATTTTTTGCAATGGGATTTCCTGCCATTCATTTTTTTATGGACGTAAATCGTGCCGCAAAGAAGTATCGATACTTAGTATCGGTGAGTACTTGAAAGTATCGTTACTCATACACGCCAATAAATAAGTGCATCCCTATTTTATTTATATTATTATATATATATATATATATATATATATATATATATATATATATATATATACTTTTTTTTTTTTTTTTTTTTTTTTTTTTTTTACATTTTTAAATATTTTGTAATTTTTTGGGGGGTGGAGGGGGCTTTGGCGAGATATCAGTGGTCAAAAAAAGACCCCTGATGTCTCTCTTTTGAGATGGAGAAAAGGATTGAAGACAGTCCCTTTTCTCTGCAGCCTAAGCTGCAACTTACATGACTGAATGAGGAGTCTGTATAGAGCCTCCTTTTCATCCATAAACTGACATAGTGAACACAGATTACTATGCTCCGTTATCAGTGGATATAGGAGTGATCAATTGTGCTCACTCACTGTATTCACTGAAGGAAAGGGGAAAGGCATGTTTACCAAGCTCCCTGTTCTCCATTCTGAGAGCTTGGAGCCAGAGTAGCAGGTGGCAGGAGGGAGAGGAGGGAACGCTGCCTAGCAGCAGAGGATCGGGGAGTCAGGCACCAGCAGCAGGGGCATCAGAGAAGAGGTTGGAGTGGCGGGGGGATATTTTATTTCCTTTTGCTCCAAAGCCCCTGCAGCAAGCTGGCGGGAGAGGCAGAGGAGGAAAGCAGGCGGCTGTAGGGAAACTGGTTTGCTATTTTGGGGGAGGAATCTCTGCTGGGGAGGGTGAAAGTAGAGGGTGGGGGGACGTTTACTATAAACAAAAAAAAAAAAAAAAAACGGTGGCGGCAGGGCGGGACCTTACGTTCCAGGTGAATAGTTCTAATCAGCGGCTTGTTACCCACTGATCAGAGCTATCTGTTTGTTCAGCAAAGTCTGCTGAACAATTCTGCTATAAGTTTATGGTCCCCTGAAGTGACCATGAGCTTATAGCAGAGGAGGAATTTTATCTTGCTGCAGCTTGCAACATAGCAACACATGTTTACATTCCAGCTGTTAATGATCTAAAGAACAGTAATGAGAAGTGAAGGGTTAACGAGAGTTTGTCTTAGCAAGAGTTTTACAAAACCCACATTCTTTTCCCACACCATTACATTACAAAACCCACATTCTTTTCCCACACCAGTACATCACAGATAATGTTTCTTGGGTTACCTTTTGTTTCCTCACTGCAGTTAGATTACTCATGTACCAGTTGGCATTTATATCTTTGCAAATATTGGGTTACTTCTCTTCTCTGGTACACACATATATAACTTATTCTTACCATACATCTTCAGTATTAATGACATTTTAATGGCTGTATTTATGCACACAATAGCACCATTTACCACCTTAAAAATATTACATATGTTTTTAGACTATAAAACTGTGGTATTGCAAGAAGTTTCTCACATTTTAAAGTGACCTTACTTTTTGATCTACCAAAACCTACATAGGGTCTGCATAACTGGATAGTTTAGTTAGGCCCTCTCTTTACATGGTTGTGTTAAATTTAAAGGAGATTATTCAGTCAGAAAGGGTCACGATTAAAGAAGGCGATCTAATAAAAAAAAACCCTAAGATCTGGGTTGTGGCCAGCCCATCACGTCATTAACCTGTCTTGCCTTACTTTTTACAGGGTATAGTTTGTTAAACACACTCCCTATGCTCATCTTTCATTGCTTCTTTTACTTTGAGTTACTGGGCAAGCAGCAAATAAAACCAGTAATTGTTTTACATCAACAAGAATTTAGGTTCCTTGTAACTTACTGTCATATAGCATCACCAGCATCTGGTACTACATTTCGTTTCAATGCTCAAGATTGGACTTGACGCGGATTCCGCAAATGCACAAACTGACCTTAATTGGCCAGTTCACCCACCCAAATCTCTGGCTGATGTTTGTAAACAAAAGTAGCACTACCACCACTAAATGACAGATCCCTAGCTGGCTTGGCATCATGTTCAAAAAATGAAGTCACACAGGATCCTTGGCCGGTTTCGTTTATGTACAGCCACCCAGAATACATGTATGAAAAATGGCCTGGTTGACATTTTAGGGGGAGTCCAATTCTGTGTATTTTTTGACTGTACATCAAAAAATGGGGTATACTTCCTTTTAAGATTTATACCAGGCCCTTCTCTAAGCATGCAGCCTTGGTGCCAGGAAAGGAAGAGCAAAGAGAGTGCTCACCCATCCCCTGAACCATATCATCAAACCACATTCCTCTAGCATTGGGAGGGTACCTTGCAAAGTATGGCAAAGCAAGACACCTTGTCCCAATTTTGCCCCCACCCCCCCCCCCCCCCCCCCCCCCCCCCCCCCCCCCCCCCCCCCCCCCCCAAAAAAAGAGAAAAGTAAAATGTGTCAGTTAAAGTAAATCCAAGACCACATGCGATCTCCAGCTAGGTGAATCCTTGTCAATCACAATTGACCAGACTTGGCACAGGACAGTGCTTCCCTGCTGTACTATTGAAAGTTTCCAGACTAATGTTTGTAAATGTACATGTCGGGCTCAAAAAGTATTGTTCCATTATTTCACATGCAGCTTTAAGGTATCACCCCCCGATGTATATATTCCAATGCTGCCCTTTAAGCCACACTCCCTGCTAAACAGTTTTTTTTATTAATTTTTGTGGGTTTTTTTAATTATTTTTGCATTGGAATGATAAAATAATCTAACTGGGCTGTCTGGAGTAACAGCCAGAGTTAGATTTTATAGTAGTGGTATGCAATGACTTCAAAAGAACAATCCCATGGAACTGGAACGGGAAGGAGGATAAGATGGGGGAGGGATGGGGGGAGAAATCCTGGGGTTTAGCACCTATGCATTATAAAGGAGATTCACAATTTAAGAACTTTACAGAACAGGGTTCAGGGTTCCTGGAGGAAGGTTAAATTTTTTATTACTTTATGTATCTTTTTATTTAGATCAAATATTGTTACAAAACATTTTTTTTTCTAAACAGGGAGGCTAGTAAGTTTCCGTGGAAATTAAAAGGTCTCTTTCCTGTACTTTACACTGATCAGCCAAAACATTATGACCATTAACCTAATATTAAGTCCCCCTTTTACCCCCCAAAACAGCCCTAACCTGTTGAAGCATGGACTCTAGTAGACCTCTGAAGGTGTATCTTGTACAATAGTTACTGAACATTCCCTGACATAAAGGTAGACCATTTTTCAGTGTACAGTTTGAAGATAGCAGTTTAAAACCATGGCCTGTTCTATTAGCTGTATTTTGTAACACCCTGGTATTTTTTATATCTTGACTTGTGTCTGACAAGCATCACCTTCAGAATGCAGATTTTTAGAAGACCTTTTACTTCTGCTCAACCTGTCTAGCTGGTTGTGAATATGGCTCAGGGATGTTGTTGGACTGAGTTTTAATAATGCCTAGGCTGGGTACTTACGAGAGCACTATTTGGGCATTTTCTGTGCATTTCTACAGACTAGTAAGTATTAAAAGGGCTAACTATTGCAGTTTTTCTCAAATATCTGGTCATGGGTTTTGAGTATTGCGTGACTGTTGCATACTGTAATGAAGGGAAGTTCTCAGACAAATGTCACGCATTGCATCATGGGATGCATTTGAAGTGTTTCTTGGTGTTCCCTTTCCTCAAAGTTGTCTCTTATATAATTCAGGTTCCAAGAAACTAGGGGGCTCCCAGGGAGCCTTGCTTCTAAGGTTTGGCAAGACAGAGGGTCTGTTGGTGGTCAGTCTTCCCTTGAAAAGTCAGTTTATTGTACTTGGCGTCAGTTTTAACAAGGCAAGAGTACAGACAGAGATGCTTGCTGCATACTGAGCAAACCACAATAAACTCAACTGAATTTTGTTACAATGTAGCATATTTATTGTTCAAGGTACACAAATCTTTACAGCCCATTCACACTGCCTGCACACTAAATGCTCCGTTGAAGCAGGTGGGCAGCTGTCAGTTTTTGGCTGCATTGAGCCATGGTGAGGGGGTGGTGTGGTACATCACAAAGTTTCCTTTTTTTCCCCCATTCATGTCTCCACACAGCAGTACAGTGACATGCAGTGCCCGCCTGTGTCCTGCAGTAAAAAAAAGTCTCCATTTTACTACAGCTCACTGCATCGGACCACGGGGCTGTGTTGCAGTGCGAATGGGGAACAAAAAAAACAATTCTCCCGTGCAGAAAAATGTCAATCACTTATGTGAATGAGCACTTACTGAGATGGATTCACTGTTGTTTATTAGAAAAAAAAACAAAAAAACACAAGTCTTATAGGTAGGATATTGTTTTAAAATGGGGAGCATTTTAAATTATTTTGTGCAAACAAAAATTTGACAAACTTGAAGCATGGCACCGATCACCTTTTGACAACATCGTATCTGCATCCTGCCTCTCCAGTACCTACATACTGCATGGCATTGCAGCTTCTGCATAGCAAAGCATTAAAAGTTATCCTTATCTTGAAGAGTGAATTGTTTTTCTGCCCGAAAGCAACTGAAAATGTTCATACACAAAACCAAAAATGCAGACTTCTCCGGTTTCCCCCACAGAATCACAAAGACTCCATACCAGTATTTTCTTCAGGGGGATTGATTGTATTTTGTGCAGATTTTGCTTTGTTTGGGGTGCCTTACTTCTAATGAAAGGCTACTAGATCTTAAACAGTGGTTGGGTTTATTTACAAGATTCCTAGATTGTAAGCTTGAAAGAGCAGGGCCCTCGATCCCCTCATGTTTTGCATTGTATTGGTATTGTTCTGTCACATGTTCTGTCCCCTTTATAATGTACAGCGCTGAGCGAACTATTGGCGCTTTATAAATACTGTATAATAGAAAATAATAATAATAATAATAATAATTTACAAACGGATGTACATGATGTCTAATTACAAAGGCATATAAAGGGATCTAAAGTACATACATTATAGTTAGAAGTAGGGAAATGGGATAAGGTAATGGGGAAATCAAGACGGAGGAAAAGGGGTCCTCTTTAGGCTCACTCACACTTATTCTGTCTGAATCATTCATAGCAGGGCCTCCAGTCTTGGGACACACCCTCAAATGGATTCAAGTGAACTGTATTCTTGATCCATCATTGACAAAATCTTGTGCTAGTGGTCACAAAAGTCCCATTACTGACCCAGGCTCAGAGTTTAGCTTTAAGCAGATGATTACACAGGATGTCCATAATAATCCTGCCTCCAGCAAGCATGTTGCAATACTGAACAGGTTTGGGCAGTAAATACCCCTACAGGTGTGCTGACAGCCTCAGGCATTCATCTAGTCCTTTTTGTTGACAGTTGATCTTAAAGTCTTTATCTGCCTTAATACAGATCCATTTGCAATTTGCTCTTTCGGGAGGCATATTTTAGTTATTATCATAGCTGCATAGATATCAGTTTTTTATCAATTACACCAGTTTGATATCCAAGATTTTGAAATGTAATTGTGATATATTTCTTCTTTTTTAGACCCAAGCTGGAGTGCTTTCTTCCTTCTTATGTGTGTAAAAAAAGGAATGGATTATTGAATGCTTTTATTAATAGAGGGAGTCGCCAGGCAAATTTTGAACAGACTTTACTGAACTCGTACAAAGAAGTTACAGAAAATACTTGTGAAGAGGGAGAAACCACAAACTACAAAGAGTATCTGAAGAAGTGCCATGAACTTCCCTATTATGGGTTTGTATTTATATTAAAAATGTTTGGCAATTAAGGGAGAGACAAGAAAAGAAAGTAGCATGATAGGCAGATAAAGAATGCATCATCTTTAGAGTTTCTGCTTTGAAAAAGTGAAAAACCTTTCACCTAGAAAATGTGGCAAGCTCAGAAACTCGCCATTCCACAGACCAACAGCATGGATTGAAGTGGATGTTTGTTGAATTGAATAGAGAGCCAGCGTGGCACTTGCCTGGAAAAACTACTGCAATGAAATCCCAGCTCCAAACATTTCAGTCTCTATGGTGATGTACCTCACAGGGACAAACACCTAGAGTCCTGCATTAAGGCCCTGTTAAAAAATGTAGATGATGTAGACCAATGTAATAAATGCTGTGCTACTTCAAAGTGAAATGTGCAAAGGGCTACTACCCTAGGAAAGTGCCCACAAACTAAACAATGAAATACAACTAAGCCAAAATACAAATGTAAATAAAGTGTATACCACAATGTATAAATGCTGTAAAATGACAGTGTGCGTCTTTAACAAGTCCATATGGTTTATACCACAGAATAAACACAAAATGTATGTGCCAAATGTCACTCAAAATTCCATTGTAAATTCTTGAGTGCTCCTAGAAACCATCACCGTCACTCTTAGTGCTCCTAAGTGCAAACAGTGCTAGCTCAGTGCTCACAGAATTCTCACCTTCAATATACTTGAATGCACCTATAAGGGTTTATTCACTGAGGTTCCATCACTCTATGGATCATCCAATGCTCTCTGTCCACAAGGGGCTCTCATTACTTCCTCCCAGTCTTTCGACCCAAATAAGGTGCAAGCCAGCTGATAGTCACGTGACAGTGTCGCAACATGTAGGGCGTGGCTGGAGGCAGCCGTGGACCGGAAATGACACATGCGGAAGTGCGGTCTGCCGGTTTCTCCATGTATTTAAATTATGTTTTTACAAGTTTTTAGCATGTACAGTCAGGTCCATAAATATTGGGACATCGATACAATTCTAACATTTTTGGCTCTATACACCACCACAATGCATTTGAAATGAAACGAACAAGACGTGCTTTAACTGCAGACTGTCAGCTTTAATTTGAGGGTATTTACATCCAAATCAGGTGAACGGTGTAGGAATTACAACAGTTTGCATATGTGCCTCCCACTTGTTAAGGGACCAAAAGTAATGGGACAGAATAATAATCATAAATCAAACTTTCACTTTTTAATACTTGGTTGCAAATCCTTTGCAGTCAATTACAGCCTGAAGTCTGGAACGCATAGACATCACCAGACGCTGGGTTTCATCCCTGGTAATGCTCTGCCAGGCCTCTACTGCAACTGTCTTCAGTTCCTGCTTGTTCTTGGGGCATTTTCCCTTCAGTTTTGTCTTCAGCAAGTGAAATTCATGCTCAATTGGATTCAGGTCAGGTGATTGACGTGGCCATTGCATAACATTCCACTTCTTTCCCTTAAAAAACTCTTTGGTTGCTTTTGCAGTATGCTTTGGGTCATTGTCCATCTGCACTGTGAAGCGGCGTCCAATGAGTTCTGAAGCATTTGGCTGAATATGAGCAGATAATTGCCCGAAACACTTCAGAATTCATCCTGCTGCTTTTGTCAGCAGTCATATCATCAATAAATACAAGAGAACCAGTTCCATTGGCAGCCATACATGCCCACGCCATGACACTACCACCACCATGCTTCACTGATGAGGTGGTGAAGGGTGTTTTCTTCACCAGGGAAAGAATTCTTCGGTCATCCACCACAGTTGTTTTCTGTGGTCCTCTTCCGGGTCTTTTGGTGTTGCTGAGCTCACCAGTGCATTCCTTCTTTTTAAGAATGTTCCAAACAGTTGTTTTGGCCACGCCTAATGTTTTTGCTATCTCTGATGGGTTTGTTTTGTTTTTTCAGCCTAATGATAGCTTGCTTCACTGATAGTGAAAGCTCTTTGGATCTCATCTTGAGAGTTGACAGCAACAGATTCCAAATGCAAATAGCACACTTGAAATTAACTCTGGACCTTTTATCTGCTCATTGTAATTGGGATAATGAGGGAATAACACACACCTGGCCATGGAACAGCTGAGAAGCCAATTGTCCCATTACTTTTGGTCCCTTAACAAGTGGGAGGCACATATGCAAACTGTTGTAATTCCTACACCGTTCACCTGATTTGGATGTAAATACCCTCAAATTAAAGCTGACAGTCTGCAGTTAAAGCACATCTTGTTCGTTTCATTTCAAATCCATTGTGATGGTGTATAGAGCCAAAAATGTTAGAATTGTGTCGATGTCCCAATATTTATGGACCTGACTGTAAGTGTATTACGTTTAATTGATTTATTTGAACATACTACACTATTGGAGATCCCTCTGTTTTTACCTATGTGAGTAAAGGGATCATGTCCCCAAACGACTCTTAAAGGAGACTTTTTCACCTTATTTAGGTCGAAAGACCAGGAGGATGTAATGAGAGCCCCTTGAGGACAGTGAGTATTGGAGGATCCATAGAATGAAGGAACCTCAGTAAATAAACCCTTATAGGCGCATTCAAGTATATGAAGGCGAGAATACTGTGAGCACTGTGGTGACACTGTTTGAGCACCAAGAGTGACGGTGACCATTTCCAGGAGCACATAAATGTTTTTTATTCTGTGGTATAAACTGTATGGCCTTGTTAAGACAGACATTTTGTCATTTTACAGCATTTACACATTGTTGTATACACTTTATTATTTACATTTGTATTTTGGTTTAGGTGTGTTTCATTGTTTAGAGCTTGTGGGCACTTATCTAGGATAGTAACCATTTGCACATTTCACTTTGAAGCAGCGCAGCATTTATTATATTGATTTAATTCACGGTAAGATTGTGGGAACACAATGTTGATGCTGGCAGCTGCTCACATCATATTGTATTACACTATTTATGATTGAGATATTGAAGGTAGCACATGAGTAATATTCCACTAGCTTCTAGAAATGGTAAATGCACCTTCCTGGTGCCCACTGAGAGCTCTCTAAACTACTGAACAGAAGGGAGTGTGTTGAGTCAAATGGACAATTTGGGAAATGTCTACTTTGCAGAGCAGAATGTAAGTGCTCCCAAAAGTTTTATCTTGGTTAGGGAAAATTCACACCTGAGAGTTTTGTAGCTTGAAGCTCCAAAACTCTCGACAGCCTAAATCCTGTGTACAGTGCATTCAGAAAGTATTCACAGCGCTTAACTTTTGCCACATTTTGTTACAGCCTTATTCCAAAATGGATTAAATTCATTTTTTTTCCCTCAACATTGTACAAACAATACCCCATAATGACAACATGAAAGAAGTTTGTTTTAAAATCTTTGCAATTTATTAAAAATAAAATATTAAAAAAAAAACATGTACATAAGTGTTCACAGCTTTTGCTCAATACTTTGCTGAAGCACCTTTAGCACCAATTACAGCCTCAATTTTTTTTTTTAGTATGATGCTACAAGCTTCGCACACCTATTTTTGGGTAATTTTGCGCATTCTTCTTTGCAGTACCTGTCAAGCTGTATCAGGTTGGATGGGGAGCGTCAGTGTACAGTCGTTTTCAGATCTCTCCAGAGATGTTCAATCAGGTTCAAGTCTGGGCTTTGGCTGGGCCACTCCAGGACATTCACAGAGTTGGCCCGTAGCCACTCCTTTGTTATGTGGGCTGTGTGCTTAGGATTGAAAGATGAACCGACGCCCCAGTTTAAGTTCCAGAGCGCTCTGGAACAGGTTTTCATCAAGGATGTCTCTGTACATTCCTGCATTCATCTTTCCTTCAATCCTGACTAGTCTTCCCAGTTCCTGCCGCTGAAAAACATCCCCATAGCATGATGCTGCCACCACCATGCTTCACTGTAGGGATGGTATTGGCCAGGTGGTGAGTGGTGCCTGGTTTCCTCCAGACATGACGATTGGCATTCAGGCCGAAGAGTTCAATCTTTGTTTCATCAGACCAGAGAGTTTTGTTTCTCATGGACTGAGAGTTCTTCAGGTTCCTTTTGGCAAACTCCAGGCGGGCTGCCATTTGCTTTTTACTGAGTGGCTTCCGTCTGGCCACTCTACCATACAAGCCTGATTGGTAGAGTGCTGCAGAGATGGTTGTTCTTCTGGAAGGTTCTCTCTCCACAGAGAAATGCTGGAGCTCTTTTAGAGTGACCATCGGGTGCTTGGTTACCTCCCTGGCTAAGGCCCTTCTCCCTCGATTTCTCATTTTGGCCGAACGGCCTGCTGTAGGAAGATTCCTGGTGGTTCCAAACTTCTTCCATTTATGGATGATGGAGGCCATTGTGCTCATTGGGACCTTCAATGCTGCAGAAATTTTTCTGTGCACTTCCCCAGATCTGTGCCTTGATACAAGCCTGTCTTCGAGGTCTACGGACAATTCCTTGGACTTCATGGCTTGGTTTGTGCTCTGATATGCACTGTTAACTGTGGGACCTTATATAGACAGGTTTATGCCTTTCCTAATCATGTCAAATCAACTGAATTTTCCACAGGTGGACTCCAATAAAGGTGTGGAAACATCTCAAGGATGATCAGTGGGAATAAGATGCACCAGAGCTCAATTTAGAGTGTCATGGCAAAGGCTGTGAATATTTATGTACATGTTTTTTTTTTTTTTTTTGTTTTTTCCCTAGTTTTTATTTTTAATAAATTGCAAAGATTTCAAAATTAACTTTCACGTTGTCATTATGGGGTATTGTTTGTAGAATGTTGAGGAAAAAATTAATTTAATCCATTTTGAAAAAAGGCTGTAACAACAAAATGTGTCAAAAGTTAAGTGCTGGCTGCACTGTATTACAATGGTAACTATGCACATACAGGTGCCCAGATGCCTGTAACTCAAAGCTTGAAGCTCAAAAAGCTACAGGAGCTACCTTTGGTGTAGATTTGGGCTTTTTTAGCCACATAGACTTCAATAGGAATGCCTGAAAATGCTCAGTTTTTCAGTCGTATTTCAGGCATCTTTGAGCCTCTAAGAGCTGGTCTCTTCCACCTAGTGCTTTCCATTGGCTAAAGCAAAGCATCTAAAGCTTGAATACACATGTAAAACACTTGAAATATGCTTCTAAAATGCTTATATATGTACACAAAAACTCAAATTAAGAACACATGCAAAACACCAACAAATCGCTGTGCTCACGTTTGAACGCAGCCATAGAGTAGAATACAGTAGGGTGGATTTTCATCCTAAAATATGGCCAAAGCTTGTTTTCGGCAATACTTTTCTTGTAGATCACAAGAGTGCACTTAGTTTTGCACTCCTGAGACCCAGAGTCTACTAATAGCTGTCTCTTGCCCACTGTCTGATGTGGCGGAGCCCCTCTGGGCTCTAGAAGGGTCCAGATAATATGATACATCCAGCGGCCTGATTGACAGCTGGCTCTGGCTGTCAGTGTGCTGATGAGAGCCGAAACCAGCCGCACCCACCTCATGACCTGCCATGCGCACCAGTGAGTGCTGGAGGAGCAAAGCGGGGAGCAGTGGCTGACAATCGCTGCTTTCTGCGCTGAGCAGATTGAGAACTGAGCAATCAACAATCGTGATCTCTCTATCTTCGGCCTAAGAACCTACATGGGACAGCTGAAGCATGTACCCTACACTTCTCTTTTAAGAAAAAATGTTCCAGAGGTAAGTGTAAATTGTGCATAGCACTTACCTCCCACAGAACTTTTGATTTATAATTCCTAAATTTCTTCTTTGAAACTTTGCAATATTTTGCCCTCATCACACTCAAAGAAACTATTGTGTTTGTGTGCGTGTTGTTTTTTTTTGTTTTTTTTTCTCCATTCAGTGTAAAATATTATGGGGTTGATTTACTAAAGGAAAATAGACTGTGCCCTTTGCAAGTGCAGTTGCATTCATTTTCTGAAGAGCTTAGTGAATGTGGTGAAGCTTTACTTTGTATAAAAAAAACAAAACAAGCCCAATCATATGCAAGTAAGATGGAATTAAAAAAAAAAAAAAACAGCATTTTTGCTTGCATATGATTGGAGGATGAAAATTAGCAGAGCTTCATCACATTCAATAAGGTCTCAGGAAAATGAGTGCAACTGCACTTGCAAAGTGCACAGTGTATTTGCCTTTAGTAAATCAATCCTTATATGTATCTACAGGTGTGCTTTTTTCATGGGAGAAATTGACAAACCAGCACAAGGCTTTCTGAACCGAGCTGGACGCAAGACCGTGTCAGTTGCTATTAATATGGAAGGAGTGTCTGTTATTGATCGAAAGGAAAAGGTATTTGAACTCTGTGCTTGTAAAGTTTGTGATTTTTTTTAGGAGTTTTTCTCACTTATACAGTGTGGAAACTTCTGACCTCCTGGATGTGTAACACATTTGTAAAATGTGGCTCTGAAAAGCTCAAAAACATTGTTATATGATACTAATTCAGGCCACAGAATGGAAAGATATAGCTGCCTGTCTATGTATTGAAAGGAAACCTGCACTAAAATGCCATAGCTAACTTGCCCTAACATTGTATTAGTTTCCTGTCTTCCTTGCTGATCCACTGCATACAAGGCTTTGAAAAGTCACTCACAGGGAACAGATATTAAAATTTAGTAATTCTTTGTTCACGCCAGCTTTGTGTGCTACACACATGTTCCATTTCAGTTAGTGATTCACCGAAATGAAAATTCTGGTACCAAAACCGAAAATTCAGGATGCACTTGGCTGAAAACAGAAACCAAAATGGACAGTTGTTAAAAATATATATACTTTTCAAACTCAATTTTTTTGGAAACAAATACACTTTAATGAATAAAAAAAACCACATACCTCCAATTTTTTTGTAGAATATGAAAGATGATGTTACGCCGAATAAATAGATTGCTAACAAGTCATGCTTTAAAATTGCACACGGTGGAGGAATGGTGCTAAACTGCAGACCTCAAAACATTCCATGGGTGACGCTTTAAAAATGTCTACAGGTTACCAGTTTAAAGTTACAGAGGAGGTCTAGAGCTAGAATTATGTATCTCGCTCTGATGTTCACGGTGATACCTCATGTGTGGTTTGAATACCGTTTACATATGTGGGCAAAGCCTATATATGCGTTCACCACTGTGCGTGAGCATGGGGGGACTTTTTTTTTCTTTTTAACTATATATTATTTATTACTTTTTTTTTTTTTTTTTTTTTTTTTTTTTTTTTTTTTTTTTTTTTTACACTGTCCCTTTTTTTAATTTTAATTTTTTTTAATCACTTTTATTCCTATCACGAGGAATGCAAACATTCCTTGTTATAGAAATAAGCAGTGACAGGTCCTTTTTATGGAGAGATCTGGGCTCAATAATACCCCACATCTCTTTTCTACAATGTAAGACAAAAAAAAAAAAAAAAAATGCTCTGTTTGTCCACTTTTGGCCGCAGCGTCTCAGGGACACAGCAGCTGCTGAATCCTTCCTTGTCTCCAGGATCTCCCCTTCCTCCTCTGTGAAACCGGGCATTGATGTCATCGTGGCTTGGGGTAAAATGATGCCTGCGTGGACCCCTTTGTGAATGGACTTGGTTTATAGTATACGGCGTCGCATTGGCTGGTACTGTTTTAATCCCTATTGAAAAGTGACAATTTATTCTCAACGCCACGCCCGACTTCTGGATTTTCCTATATGTTTTGATGTTATCTGGCAGGACCTCCTCTTTTTTAGACTGTTGTTTTTATCTCTCTCTCTCTTTTTGTTTCCAGTAATAGTATCCCATGTATTTCTTTTTATTTCATTTTTTTTTTTTTTTTTTTTACGTAAAGTTTTATTTAGCCAAGTGTGGGCATAAAGACTGCATATATAGAAATAGCCTAAAGGAATACTTTACCATAAGGAATGAATAAGTGAATAGTCTAATGAAGTATCGGTTGTTTTCTGTATGTGCCTATCAGAGTGCCCCTTAACATATAATAAGGGACACTCTGATGAGCACATTCTATGTTGTGCCCTTTAACATTCAGAGTGCCCCTGTAAGACTACTCCCTACCTTGAGGGCAGACAGGTACTGTGCCGTGATCCATGCTGGACGTTTGTGTACAGGCAGGGAGCGGGAGCCGGAGAGACAGTGAGCTTCACGGGGTGGGGCGCACATGTGATGTCATGTTGCCATGACGACCGCCCTGCTCAGCGGTGCATCTGTCATGGCGGTCCAGGCAGCAGCGCTGCTGGTACTGTTTGCGGACCGCGGTTCGCCAAGTAGTGACCACTGGTCTATGGTATTGTCAGGTACCCTTCCATATTTGGAATGATGACTAGTAGTGTGTCAATTTCAACCAACCAGCTTGTAGGTAATGTAGAGAAAAACTGTTCTGACCCGTTTTTGTGCTTTGTAGCAGTGATTTCCGTTTTGATTTCTAAAAGGCTTAGTTGACCCAGTACTGATATCCTGCTTTAAAAATTAATACATTCTTAATCCGTTATTAGGGGATACAGAGAGCTTCCTATTCAAGACTACTTGTAATTATTTTGCCACCTCCAGGTGAATAGACACTGGCCATAAAAAACATAACCTCTCCCAGCTCAACTAAGGTTCAGTTGGGGAGGAGGAGGGCTTTATCTGGATTAGTCACTACTGCCAGTAGGCCAAGAGAAACTGTACCTGGACCCCACTTGCAAGAGTGGGACGTCCTGTAAAGCTACCGGTTTTTATCCTGTGGTCAGTGATCTCTAGGGTACTGAGTACAAGGTGAACACAGCATGCTCTACAAATCCACAGTAGTGATCCCCTAGTGGGGAAGTAGAGTTCCTGAAGTCCCTGTAGGTCTCACCCATCATCCGTGTTTACAGACATTTGTTTGCAGTAGGTGACCCTAGATGTGGATCTACTGGCATCCAGATTCAATAAATAGAAAGATTAGCGTCCCAAACCAGGGATCCTCGGGAGTTTGCCAGAGATTCTCTAGTGACCCCTTGGGATCAGTTTTCCCTGATATATGCCATCCCACCACTACAGCGTCTTCCTTGTCTGTTGTGCAAGATAGAGGTGTAGGGTATTTTGATGATTCTGCAAGCACCTGCTTGGCCAAGATGGTTATAAAATGTAGATACTGATAATCTCAAGGCCGATGAGCTGTGGGCTCTTCCAGATTGGCCCGATTTGCTGTTGCAGGGTCTGATCTTCCATCCTGCCCTACAGTTGCTAACTTTGTTGGCATGTCTGTTGAAACCCAAGTCCTGAGGGACAGGGATTTTGAACCTCTCCAAGGGATTCCCTTGTCGCTCCTTAAGCGCAAGGTTGTCTTTTGTTTGCCCTTACCTTGGCTTGCAGGGTCTCGGAGTCGGCTGCGCTTTTCTGCAAGCATCCTTTCCCAATTCTTCACTTGGATAAGGTGGTGTTGAGGCCTTGGTCCCCTTTCTTACTTAAGGTGGTTACTTCGTTCCACCTGAATCAGGACATTGTGTTGTCTTCCTTTATCCTTATCCTAAGCATCCTAAGTAGAAGGTGCTTCACTTTTTGGATGTTGCTCAAGCTGTTCAAGTTTATCTGCAGTATAAGATTGGTTTAGACAGTTTGATTCCCTGTTTTTTCTGCTTGATTCCTAGCAAGGGTCATGCTGTTTCTGGATCCATAATCCTAGAATTTCCACCCGGGAATGCACCTCCCTTCCTCCAACACTGTTGGACTTCATTACTGCCAGCAGAAGAAAACTTTGACCATCATAATGTACGTTTCGCTCTCTCCAAGACCACCTAGAATTTGTTAGACTGGAACCTCTTCCCAGATGGACCTACTTTCAGATTTGTTATATGTTAAATGCCGCACATAGACATTAATGCCATACCAGAACCTTGACAGAGTTCGAATGCCTCTGCTACCCTGCTTCCCTGCAAATTCTACTTTCTTCAAGATCCACCCTCTCTTTTTTTTTTTACCTGACACCCCTCTGGTGATGACACTGCACAAAAAGCCAGGGGGGGGGGGGGGGGAGCCTGGAATAGGGACCTGAAAGCTGATCTTACTCAAGCGTTCAATCAACATCCAGGAAATGAATTACACACTCTGTAGCCGATGGTATCGTACCCCAACACATCTCCACCCCATTTTCACAGACATTCCAATCTGACAAAGGGACGCACGTACACATTTGGTGGTCTTGCCCTCACATACGCCCCTTATGGACTGATGTATATTCCATGCTTAAAGAGATAACAAACCACGACCTGCCCTTCGAACCCGCTACTTTCTCCTACACCATACAAATCTGTCCCCTCTAAAGACCCACACAATCTTTGACCATCCATTTACTGAATGAAGCCAAGACACTTATCCTCTGACTGGTTCCATCGCATTGAGCAGGTGAGGGAGATGGAGGAACTGGTACACACCAGCAAGAGAAACCATATCCTCATTTATTACCAGCTGGACAAGGTGACTCTTGTTTAAGGATTCAGATTTCTACAAGCAACATTGTTCCATTTGAGTGACGTACTCTCCAGGGGCCCTTCCCAAAAATTTTATGAACTAACCAATCATACATACATGTAATAGTAACGCACTGTTAAAGCAGTGAAATATGTCTAACTTTGCCATTGTGGTCATTCTATTTAAATATTGCTTATTTCTATCCATATATGGTGTGCAGTAAATTCAAACATCAGTTATTGATTAGCTTTATTTGATCAATTTCACCAAAACATCTTTGTTTTCTTTTCACAGCATGTCTTAATAAGTTTAAAGTTTTCAGAGCTGTCCTGGGACCACACATATCCAGAGAGGGAAGAACATATTCTATGGCTGGAGTTTGATGGTAATAATGAAGGAACACCAGTTAACAAGTTGCTAAAAATATACTCCAAACAGGTGATATTCCAGGAATAATTTAGTAATGTATATTGTATCTTTCTTGTTAAGCTCCCCAGAAGCAATCTCTGCAACACTGCAGCTGGAAGACCAAAATAGTCATTGGACAAATGGGCTTATGGTTTTCAGGTAGACTTCTAGGATCTGAGCATGCTGCTGATATTTGCTAGCAATGTGAACAATCTAAGCAAGTAACACACATCAGAGAAAAAAAAAGGAATTACCTTTTTAATGCATATACATCAAAAACCTTGCCAGCAAATAAATGACAGTGGAGATCTACCTAACAGAAGATGGAAACGTTTCACACCAGAACCAAGCCACTATATAGAGAGGTAAAGATGCAGCTTCAGCCTGAACTCCTCCTGGCTATACTCCTATCATATGTTTTGCCTCACCTACGGGACTTAATCATAGTGATGAGAACGTAACCGAAATAGCAGGCTTTTATACGTCCTCATCATCCGCATGAACAGATGTTCTCTCTTACCTATGATTAAAGTGATACTAAAGCTTCTTTTTTCAGTAAAATAACAAACCTGTCATGCTTGCCAACTGTGTTCAAAAGCTCATATCCTCCTCTGCTTCCCTGCCAGCGCTCATGGCACCTAGCCCCCCCCCCCCCCCCGAGTGCCCACCACAGGAAGCTTGTTTTTTATGGGGGCACTTGTGAAGGCCCACTCACAAGCCAGGCTGTTGGCGTCTATTCAGACACATAGCCTGGCTCGGCCCTGCTCTCTGCTCTTTGCTCACAGGTTTTGACTGAGCAGCAGCCAAGCCTGTGAGAGCCCTGAGGGGAGCTGCTTCAGACATGCAAGATTGGGCTCAGACAAGTATTTAGAAGGAGCTGTGTGTAAAAGGTTTTTTACCTTAATGCCAAGAATACATTAAGGGACGGTTCACACCATAAAAACGCAGTTCAGATTGTTTCTGCATGCGCGTTTTTGGCACATTTCGGTGCATTTTTGACGTGTTGCGGTTCACTTTTTCCCCTCTATTTTTCAATTTAAATAGGGAAATTTTTTTGGTGCATTCTGGTGTGTTTTTGATGCATTTTACCGCGTTCCAGTACAGTTCTGTGCAGGAAAAATGCAGCCTCTTGTTCAACCAGAACACACTGGAACTGCAAGCTCTGATGTGAACTATGACATTGACAACCATATTAACCTACTTTCTGTGCATTTTGAATTCAGAAAAAAGCACACTGAAACGCATGTAGTGTGAACTGGTGCTAAGGTAAAAAGCCTCTTATCTTTACAACCACTTTTAGCCCCATAGGCAGGGAGAAACATGTCAGAGGAGCATAGCTAGGAGGAGTTCAGGCTGAAGTTGTGTAAATGGCTCCCTTTCTGCTTGTTGATAATTTTGTGCAAAGTTTTTTTTTTTTTTTTTTTTTTTATATTGGTATGAGTAAATATTTCATAAATACCAGTTGATTCTAGCAGCTTTTGCTCTGAGACCACCTTTTACAATGTAATTAACAGCTCCCAGTACTGCATGATGCTGGTCTCCCTCTACTTTCATCCCATTTGCTGCAGTAAATGCCCCCAGCTGTTTGACAGCTGCTCTAACCATTTAACAGCTGAGACCGTGCATATCTTTACATGCAACTGCTCTCTGCCCCTTTTTCTGGACAGTTTGGTCTGTTATAGTTAAAGGCTAAGTTCACCTTTTAGGAGTATGTTACAATCATATTTAGGGTGTAACACGTAACATGCTCCTATGCAGCTTCCTCACACCAGCAGCAATCCACGCTTTGTGACAGCGGGCGGGGTAACGTCTCCTGTACCCTCTTTCACAAGGCCCTGCAAGGCTGCAATGTAAATAAAAAAAATTATAAATGCACATTTTTTTTTTTTACCTGCAAAAAAGATGTGCATTTATTTTTTTTGGAAAAGACGAACTTATCCTTAATGGAAGAGTGGTAGATAATGCTAGTGTCAGTCTCCATCAAATATGCCATCTATTTTGTTGTGTGGTGTGTATTTTTTTTTTTTTTTTTTAACTAGTTACACTTTAAGTTTGAGCTAGCCAGGCAACAAACATTTTCTTCAGGAGGCGCAGAAATGCTAGACCTCCCTATACTTCTGTTTAGTCAGTGTCCTTTCAGCAACTATGTATACCAGGGCTTGAAATGTCCGCTTGCCAAATGCAAGGGGGGGAAATCCCTTTGTAGCGAGCACAGATGGAGTGGGTGGCTTTCAATGCGATCGCCAGGCCCTGGGGATCGATTTGCACTCCAAGCCTCGTTGTGAAGCCGACTTCCGGTTTCTTCGCCACCCCGGGGGACACGAGGAGAGGCCCGCTCTCCACCGCCTTGGGGGACACGAGGAGAGGCCCGCTCTCCACCGCCTTGGGGGACACGAGGAGAGGCCCGCTCTCCACCGCCTTGGGGGACACGAGGAGAGGCCCGCTCTCCACCGCCTTGGGGGACACGAGGAGAGGCCCGCTCTCCACCGCCTTGGGGGACACGAGGAGAGGCCCGCTCTCCACCGCCTTGGTGGACACGAGGAGAGGCCCGCTCTCCACCGCCTTGGGGGACACGAGGAGAGGCCCGCTCTCCACCGCCTTGGGGGACACGAGGGGAGGCCCGCTCTCCACCGCCTTGGGGGACACGAGGGGAGGCCCGCTCTCCACCGCCTTGGGGAAAATTACTTGTGTATGGCCAGCTTAAGGTGAGCTGCTTACATGCACACTACAGGTCGTTACTCCTTATCACAGTTTAGAGTGGAGCACCACTCAATTGTTTTAAGTTTTGTATAAAGAGAGAAAGGGCTAGAACCTATGTATTTTACTGTTGTCTGGCCTGGTGAGATTTCAAAGACTAGGAAATTGGGTACAATGCCCCACCATTTACACTGTTTTTTGCCAACATCCCAAATATTGAAACCGACAACAACTATGGCAATAGCTCCCTGGGACTTTGAAAGGCAAAAAAAAGTGTGTACACAGGTATAAAACAAATGTTTATTGCAACAAATTATTTTTTAATACAAAGAATCAAAAGACTCAGTGAGGTTGAGCTGCAGTACAACAATGCATGACTTAAAAGTAGAAAACATACACATATTACAGACTGTCAGGATATGCACACTGTGTATGTTTTCTACTTTTAAGCTTTAAGGGGGTGTGGTTGGGGACGGGCCTGGGGTTGGAGGCGGACCTGGGAAAGGTTGGGTATGGCAACTGGTGGAGAGTAACGTTTGTGCCTGCCTAGTAGGTTTAGACTCAAAATTTTAAGCCCTGATATACTTTGCTGTTCTGGTTTGTTGCGTTAAAAGACCTTGCTTACAGGCAACATATTCAAACAAAAGAGCTGCCAGCTCACCAATGCAAGGGAAAATGCAGACATATTGCATTTTGCACACAACCCAATGCATGTTTGAATGGTACCCCAAAGCACTCGGGCAGTGTAGTGCACCACAAAGTTGATGACACCACATTGTGCTGACGCACATAACGTGTTGATGTACAAAGCTGTAAAACATTACAAAAGTGTGGTTTAGCACTTACTGTTTTCTCAGTCAGTAACCTGGAGCAAGTATAGAGATATATAATATTTTGTTTGATTTTTATTTGCTACAGGCTGGTTCTGGATCCTTAAGTTAGAGAAAGCTAGGCACCTAGAATTTTCAGTTGGCCAGTTATTGCATTCTTTGTGTTTCTCACATGACAATTGTAGTTTCAAGTAAATGAGAGGATGTTCTGTCTGTCTTGGTGGCAGTGTTTTCTGGAAATTAACTGAAATTCATTGAATATTTTTGATTCTTGTCTGGAGCTGCACTATGACAAAATACTGCTATAGTTTTACACTTTAACATTACATCTGTTTTTTTTTTTTTTTTTTTCCAGGCTGAGCTGATGAGTGGTTTAATTGAGTATTGCGTAGAACTTAATCAAGGTGGAGATATGCATTCTCCAGACTCTGTTTCTGGGAGTACACCAATTACTGAGAAACGGAGCAAACTACGCAGACAGGAGAGTGTTTTGTGTAACCGCATCAAGCATCTTACCACAATTGATTATGTTGATGACGGTAAGGTATTCACTTGGCAGTCTGTTTAAGCTCTTTAATTGTATATGGTGTTTTGTGATGAGGTGTTTTAAAGGTTGACTACTTGTTAAATATAAGGTCCTCTATTAAAGAAAAACACGGGCAGCTATGTACATAGCTCATGATGTCTGTATTAAAGGGTCAGACCACGTAAAACCATAATTTCAATATTTATTTATATATAGATTCTAGTGGTTGGTATAGCCACCAGCATTGTATATTTCTTAGGGCTCCAGCAACAAGATGTTGATACTCAATTCCACTTATCCACTACATCTGTTACTGGGGTAATAGGACTTGAAGTATAAATAAAGGCAAAACTTTTAGTTTTGAGCAAAGTTGATAGTGATTAACCACTTGCCATCTGGAAGTTTTCCCCCCCCTTAATGACCAGGCCATATATTGCTATTTGGCACTGCGCTATTTCAGCCGGCATTTGCACAGTCATGCAATGCTGTACCCAAACAAAATTTATGCCCTTTTTTTCACACAAATTTATTTTATTTATTTCTGGTACTTATATAGCACCATCAATTTACACAGCGCTTTACATATATAATGTACATTCACATCGGTCCCTAACCCTCAAGGGGCGTACAATCTAAGGTCCCTAACTTACATTCATACATACACATATTAGGGCCAATTTAGACAGGAGCCAATTAACCTACCAGCATGTCTTTGGAGTGTGGGAGGAAACCGGAGTACCCGGTGGAAACCCACACAAGCACAGGGAGAACATACAAACTTCAGGCAGGTGGTAGAACTAGAAATAGAACTTTCTTTTGGTGGTATTTGATCACTACTGGGTTTTTTATTTTTTTGTGGTATAAATGGAAAACGACCAAAAATTTTGAACCCCCCCCCCCCCCCCGATATTTTCTACTTTTGTTTATAAAAAAAAATATCCAATAAACTCAGTCATAAATTTAAGCGAAAATGTGTTCTGCTACATGTCTTTGGCAAGCAAAATCCCAATACGTGTATATTGGTTTGTGTTAAAGTTAGTGTCTGCAAACTATGGTTTAAAGTTAGATCCATATATATTTGGACACATGCACAATTTTAGATTTTTTTCAGGTATTTACCAACACATATTCAAGCTATAGTTCTATAATGGATATGGGCTGAAAGTGCACACTCTCGGGTTTAATTTGAGGGTATGTGCATCAAAATTGGAGAAAGGGTTTAGGAATTACAGCTCTTGAGAGTAGCCATCCCCCCTTTTTTCAAGGGACCAAAAGTAATTGGACAATTAAATCAAAAACTGTTTCATGGCCAGGTGTGGGCTACTCTGTTATTTCTTCATCAATTAAGCAGGTAAAAGGTCTGGAGTTGATTCTAAGAGTAGTATTTGAATTTGGAATCCTATTGCTGTGAACCTACATCATGTGTTCAAAGGAGCTGTCCATGCAAGTGAAACAGGCCATTTGTAAGGTTTCAAAAACTAAACAAATCTATCAGAGAGATAGCAGCAACATTAGGAGTGGCCAAATCAACAGTTTAGTACATTCTGAGGAAAGAAGAATGCACTGGTGAGCTCAGCAACATAAAATGGCATGGACGTCCATGGAAGACAACAATGGTGGATGATCTCAGGATCCTCTCTATGGTAAACAAAAACCCATTCACAACATCCAGACAAGTGAAGGACACTCTCCAGGAGGTGGGAGTATCATTGCCAAAGTCTACAATCAAGAGAAGACTTCACTAGAGCAAATACAGACGGTTCACCACAAGGTGCAAACCATTCATAAGCCTGAACAATAGAAAAGCCAGATTAGACTTTTCCAGAACTGGTCTGGCTTTTTTTAGATGTTTTTTTGGCAAAGCATTCTTTGGACGGAAGAAACTAAGATTAACCTGTACCAGAATGACGGGAAGAAAAAAGTGTGGAGAAAGCTTGGAACAGCTCATGATCCAAAACACGTCATCTGTAAAACACGGTGGAGGCAGTGTGATAGCATGGGCATGCATGACTTCCAGTGGCACTGGGTCATTGGTGTTTATTGATGATGACAGAAGACCGAAAGCAGCTGGATGAATTCTGTAGTGTTTAGAAATATACTGTCATCCCAGATTCAGCCAAATGTAGCAAAGTTGATTGAACAGTTCTTCACAGTCCAGATGGACAATGATCCAAAACACACTGCAAAAACAACCCAGGAGCTTTTGAAGGAAAAACAAGTGGAATATTCTGCAATGGCCAACTCAATCACCCGATCTCAACCTAATTGAGCATGCCTTTCACTTGCTGAAGGCAAAACTAAAGGCAGAAAGACCCACAAACAAAGAACAACTGAAGACAGCTGCAGTTAGAGCCTGGAAAAGCATCTGAAAAGAGGAAACCCCGTCTTTGGTATGTCCATGGGTTCCAGATTTCAGTCAGTCATTGCCAGTAAAGAATTCTCAACAAAATATCAAAAATGAACATTTTATCTATGATTATATTCAATTGTCCAATTTACTTTTGGTCCCTTGAAAAAAGGGGGGGTGACTACTCTTAAGAGCTGTAAAAAACCCTTCCTCCAATTTGGATTTACGTAACCTCAAATTAAACCTGAGAGAGTGTGCACTTTCAGCCCATATCCAGTATATAACTAGAGCTTGAATATGTTTTGGTAAATACCTGAAAAAATCTAAAATTGTGCCTGTGTCCAAATATATATGGACCTAACTGTATATATTGGAATTTACACAGCTTTAACTTTTGACTGCCTATCATATTTCTTGAGGTGCAAAATGCAAGGGCAGTACAAAAACCCCCCAAAAGACCCGTTTGGAAAGTAGACACCCCAAGGAATTTGCTGATAGGCATGTTGAGTTTATGAAAGAATTTTAATGTGACCTATAAACTATACAACTCAATTGAAAAACAAACTTAAATCGTTTAGGTAGAAAAATAAAAAATTAAAATAATATGGTTGCATAAGTGTGCACACCCTAAAACCTAATACTTTGTTGAAGCACCTTTTTGATTTAATTCCAGCACTCAGTCTTTTTGGGTATGAGTCTCTCGGCATAGCGCATCTTGACTCAGCAATATTTGCCCACTCTTCCTTGCAAAAACACTCCAAATCTGTCAGACCGTGAGGGCATCTCCTGTGCACAGCCCTCTTAAGATCACCCCACAGATTTTCGATTGGACTCTGGCTGGGCCATGCCAAAACTTTGATCTTCTGGTGAAGCCATTCCTTTGTTGATTTGGATGTATTCTTTGGGTCATTTTCATGCTGAAGTTCCTCTTTCTAGCAGAAGCCTGAAGGTTTTGTGCCAATATTGACTGGTATTTGGAACTGTTTACAATTCCCTCTACCTTGACTAAGGCCACAGTGCCTCCTGAAGAAATACAGCCCCAAAGCATGATGCTGCCACCACCATGTTTCATTGCTCTTTTGGTGATGTGCAGGGTTGTTTTTTTGCGCCAAACATATCTTTTGAAATTCTACCTTGGTTTCATCAGACCATAACACATTTTCCCACGTGCTTTTGGGAGACTTCAGATGTGTTTTTACAAAATTTAGCCGGGCTTCGATGGTTTTCTTCGTAAGAAAAGGCTTCCGTCTTGCCACTCTACCCCGTAGCCCAGACATATGAAGAATACGGGAAATTGTTGTCATATGTACCACACAGCCAGTACTTGCCAGATATTCCTGCAGCTCCTTTAATGTTGCTGTAGTCCTCTTGGCAGCCTCCCAGACTAGTTTTCTTATCGTCTTTTCATCAATTTTGGAGGGACATCCAGTTCTTGGTAATGTCACTGTTGCGCTTTCCCCACTTGATGACTGTCTTCACTGTGTTCCATGGTATATCTAATGCCTTGGAAATTCTTTTGTACCCTTGTACAGTTTATAGGTCACATTAATGGTGGAAACCGTTCTGAAATTATTTCTTTGTCTCATTTTTTTAAATCACAGAAACCTGACATTTTAACAGGGGTGTGTTGACTTTTTATATCCACTGTATATTGCTCACTAATGCCATGGGTATATGTGCAATAACACCCCAAAATGCATTCTGCTGCTTCTCCCAAGTATGGGGATGCCACATATGAGAGACTTTTTGGCAGCCTAGCCACATACACGCCCTGAAAGTCCCTTCCCGCTGCTTCTAAAAGCGATCGAGCGGCTAATTGTTTTTACTGGAAAGTAGACCACCAGCTGAAAAAAAACGATACCAGGATCATGCCTGTAGCTGCAGGCATCATCTTGGTATTACTACTCAAATCCAGCGACGTACCAGGTCCTTGTTGGGCATATATGTAACCGCAGAGAACACAGGCATACGATGAATCAAGTCAGTGGACCAATATGACTGCAGTTCATTCTTTTTTGTAATGCCGATTGTTGAAGGTCAGGCCCAAAAAAGTTTTAAATTCAGAAACCGTAATTGGTTTCCATTCAAATTGTCTGGCAAGAGCTGAATTTGGGTGGATGGCGATGTATTGTTGTATGTGTAAGTTGCTTTGACCCTCAGTCAATTGATACAAATCTTTTGTGAAAAACAGCGGAGCAGCTAAACGCTAGTGCTGACAGCAAACTGGGCTGATCCTGATAACACTGCATTTTTGGGAACACTATACTAAGGAGGCTCAAGTATAGTTTTGCTCGGGATCAATATATTGATCCGTACAAACACTATACTGGTAATGGTGGTGATCAGCGACCTATAGTGTGCGGATAATCTAAAGCTAGCTGACCCTGGCTGGAAGGGGAGCTTACAGACCTTGACGTTATCTGATGTCACTAGTGGCAGTATTATGGTGATCAGTGAAAAATTCTATACACTGACTAATGGCACTGGCTGAGTGACAGGGTGATCAAAGGGTTAAAGGAATGTGCTAATCTAACGTGTGTGTAAAATGTAGTGCTTTTACTCAGTGCTGTGTGACGGTCGCGGCGTCGGACCCCCAGCCCTTCTCACCAACTTGTGACCGAAGGACTAGCCAATCTAAAACCGCGCTGTCACGTGCGTAACAATGC